CTAGTACCATGATGGTGAACTCACGATCTGCGCTTTGCCTATGCTGGACAGTAATAGGCACCAATCTGACTCCATAAATATCTCTCGCGCTAATGAGCAGCTTTGCATCGACTGTATCTCCCTCTGTCGCTTGAGGGTCAAGCATCGCGGATGGGTACATCATGATGCGATCTGCTTTGCTCTGCACATGGTCCAATCTTTCGAAGAACATGACCGAGTTGCAGAGATAATGCGAATCAGTGACGTATTGCACGTACGCGAACCGAGACCAGTCAACATTATTTTGTCCAGCCACAGATTTGACTTGGGACGATCCCTTCTCATGATGGGCTGGGAAGGACGACCGTATGGCCGCGATCTGGTCAGAATTTTGAGCGACCAGGGTTAGGAAGAGTAGCCCAACAACTGCTAATGTCACCCCACGAAAACGCTTCGAAGACATAACACTAGATAGACTCGGCCGAGTCTTTGATGAAGACAAACCGGAGCTGACCGCGTCGTCAGCAGAAACTTGCAAGTAGGACCATCTTGAGCGAAGGAATTGAAGAGCCATTGAAAATAAACCAAAAGGGAAGGAGGAAATACGGAGAGAAACGGCCATCAAGTTCGCTGGTGCCTGCGCGGGTTGCGCAATGCGTCCACGCCTAACATATATGTAAGGGCTGTGTGGGTATGTGCCCAAGATCAATAGCTGAATATCCAATGATATAACTGGCCAAGAAGTCCAGCCGCTTTGAACCCTTGCATCTAATGTCAGGAGTGGATACCACACACAGGGGTTTGGGCCCATGGCGAGCAGTCCTCGGTTATTTTGGCGAATGGTTCAGAAGGAGAGTGCGCCCATTGTGGGCTTGGATAAGTTAAACAACGCGGAGCTTAAAGCGTAAAAAGTGGAAGTCTGGAGTTGAAAACAAAACCCCCCAAATATTTATCAAGCTTCCAAGCCAAGAAAGTGTGACTTCAGTTGCACTTTCACAGGATGAAGCGCTCAACTCAGTTTCCCTGGCTTTGGTTGCCAGTTCTCCTCTGACGTAGACTTTGCCGGGAGCTTGGTGAGAAACTTCCGAGACTGCAAGTTGCGTTGGTGGGTATTGAGGAGGATTGCAGGGAAAGCCAGCCAATGGTAAGTAGTACCAACGGGATGGTTCAGCGCCAAAGGCTCACCGTCAACTTGTTGAAATTGCTCGAGGAGCAGGGATGGTCCAACGCAAAGTCAAGGACACCCTCTTCGTTGACCAATCTTGCAGCCCGTTCCTCGCCCGTGACGATAGAATCTTTGTTGGAACTGATGAATGAACCGCAACAAGCTTGGTTGTTAATGTACAAGGTAGCCTCCATTGTCGGGGCGCCGATTCCGTGTTTTGTTCTCTCGATCATCTCTGACTTTTGTTACCCGACCTTTTCATTTACATCCCTCACTTGTTTTCCTTTCAATACTCATTCCATCCCTACGGCTGGCGTTGTTGTTTTTGGCCATGGCTCACGATTGCCAGTGCTCAATTTTTTTACCTATTCTTCACTTCTCCGCTTTCTTCGTCAGCTTCGTTCTAGCTCAAAGTGCGGCGCCATTCGAAGTGGCATGGTCTTCCGCAATATTCGGCCCCGATGGCCCGTGGCAGGCAGTTGAGGCCACTGTCGGAGCGGACTCGAAAGTTGCTCTGTATCCCGGGCACACGTTCCAGTCATTAATCATCGCCACCGACTATTGCAAGCTCAATAGTACCAACGGTTGCTATGCCTCGAAGGCTGGAACGTACAATCGAGCGCAGGCTATTCAAGATGGTACCGGCTCCGCGTTTGGCATCCAGTATCGGCCACCCCTTTACGAGTGGATGGCCGGGATGGACGTCCGTGGACAATTACCTACGTCCTGGGTAGATTCGATGATCCTCGACTCCGCATCTCCAGCCGGACCGACGCATCGAGTTGAGAATGTCAGTTTGACGCTCGTCGAAAGCCAAATGATCGCATATCCCAGTGGGGCCTGGTACCCAGCTTTTGCCGGGTGCCTAGGTGTCGGAGCTGCGGATACCGTAAACCAGTCCTTCACCACTTCATCCTATTCAATCAACGCCAGTCTTGTTCCAGGTACACTATGGACCAACAAAAAGACAAATTCCAACTCGTTCAGTATGCATATTGGCTCGGTTGGTTCACGAATGGCCGGATCGCTATGGTTTGGTGGATATGACCAGAACCGATTGATCGGAGACGTCTTGGTGGCAGATGAGGATTTTGTCAGGAGTCCTGTGACCCTCAAGGACATCAGCATTGATGTTATCCAAGGATCATCACCGTTCAATTTTACAGCGCAAGACGGCCTTCTAGCCTTCGGCAATAGCTCCATCAGTAACGGTTTGCGCGTGGCTGTCGACGGCTGCGCTCCCTACCTTACTCTTCCGAAGTCAACTTGCGACAGCATCACCTCCCATCTCCCAGTCAACTATAACGCAGACCTTGGTCTGTATTTTTGGAACACTGAATCTCCAAAGTACAGTCAAATCGTCTCATCGGCATCGGCCTTGTCGTTTACATTTCTCTCCGAATCTAATACGAAAACGTCGACGATACGCGTGCCCTTCTCTCACCTGAACCTGACGCTTTCCGAGCCCCTCGTCGAGTCTCCGACGCCATACTTCCCTTGTTTTACTGGGGGGCCCAGTACATACAATCTGGGAAGAGCGTTTCTTCAGGACGCATTCCTCGGTGCCAACTGGGGACAGTCCAAATGGTGGCTCGGTCAAGCACCTGGCCCGAACATTCAGCTATCACCCAGTGTTGTAGAGATCCTTGATGGAGACATAACGATCAAAGGCGGAAATAATGACTGGGAAGAATCTTGGAAGGGGGCATGGAAAGTCTTGACGGTTGACGAGGCAAATGGGGCTGCACCGGTAGACCCTCCCATTCAGTCTGGCTCGACAGGCACACCGACGCCAAATGCAGAAAAGGAACAACATAATCGTTCTGGCCTTTCAACCGAAGTCAAGGCAGGAATTGCAGGAGGATCTGCAGCAGTCATTTTGGCAGCTGTCAGCCTAGGCGTATTCTTCTGTTTGCGTCGAAGGAAAAGAAAAACCGCCCAGAAAAACGAAACACCGCCAGAATACGAGGATGAGGGTCTTTACCACGATTTCAGGGTCATTCCTGAACCACAAAAAGGGCCGGCTGAGGTGTACGGATCATCACCAGCTCACATAAGAGAGCTTTACAGTGAAGTAGAGTGGCCAAGGCACAAGGGAACGACTGATCGACCAGCGGAGTTGCCGTAAGCATAAGACTGAGGCGTATGACGATACTCTATTGACGGTTAACTGATAGCGAGAAGTTCTTGATGGTTACTTAGTGTGAAGAAGTAGTTTCAAAATCTTCAAGTATGTACGGAGTCCTTTTTCGGGTATTCAAGCATGGATGTTAAACGAAGCGATATTCTACGAAAGTCCCCCGATATTACCTTTAAGCTACCTGCTCGCTTATGGATCCAAACTTGTCGAAGTGAGTTACATTAATGATTTACTCGAGTGTATATTATGCAGCACTAGTCAGGTATGAATTTCAAAACTCAACCTCTTTGCAGAAGGAGAAAGACGCCGCAGGACATCAGAAACCAGTAAAGACCAAGTCCTGCCTGACTGACAATTTAACCACACGGTCAGAAATTGCAAATGTGGGCGCGTCAAGGTAATTGGACCACAACAACGCCGACAACCGGGCATGGCGAAACAATACCTGTGATTCAGGGCAAATATTGGCTCGGCGGTTATTAGACGCTGACGCGTGCGTCTCGATGCCATGTCGCGTCCATAGCAAGCATTAATTGCAGACTTAGTCAGATGGCACCATGCGCAGGGATATGTTTCCCTTACGTGGGGCGCGATCAAGGGTACCTACATTTTCAGCGGCAAATAATGAATGTTGATTGGCCACAGCCACCAACGACAGAGGAACCAACAACCAAAGATGATTAATATGTCAACCCCTCTCGAACCATGAAAGGAGTTCAATCCGCCTGAATTCTACACTACTTCAGCAAACCTGAATTTTCATTGAATTATCCTTGGTTTGTCTCAATACACAAACACATCGCATACTTGTAGCTGTGAAACCATATCTTTGTCACCTTAATGCCATCTGAGCGATCCAGGCAAAACGTTCTGAATATGGTCCTCTGCAGCTCTGGGCTGTCGACCAAGCCTCGTTCTAGAAACAGGCAAATCCCTACAAGCATTTCATTGGGGCTGGTTATCACTAGCACCTTGAGCTCCATTCTCGTCATTGCCAAGTTTCGCACATGGACAGTCAACGGCTCTTGGTACGAGTCACCACTCGGGACGATACCTTCTCCCGCACTCCATTCTGTCATCCGGTTCGTGGAAAACGTATTGGGACTTTCCGACGCTTTTGCTTCCAAGCGTGTAGTCGCCGAGTTCATTATTCAGCTCGTTGCACATACATTATCCCTATTTCAAATTTCTGCGATTGCCATTCTCGCCCGGAACGACATCCTTTCAGACGTATTTGGAAGCGCGGAAACAGCAACACAAAGCCTTAAAGGTTCCATGACGGTCGGAACCTTGAGCCCGCGGCAGAACGCGCGATCACGTCTTCTCACATCAATCGTTGCTTTCTTCTTTGTCGGCGTCTCTCTCTCAGCAGTATGGAAAGGCGCCATGACACTCACGGGCAAAGCCGTTGTCATGAAAAGCAGCATTGAGGTTCCATCCTTCACAACCACAACATTTATCAAAGAGTACCCAATTGGGTCCTCACAACCTAGACCTTCAGTCTCGACCAAAGATGGAATCTTCTCATACTCTGTCGGCACGATGCTCTTAAATGGGCTGGTAGCATCAGGGTCGTCTGCAACAACTCCTGATAGGACTATGCGGGTACATCCAAAGATTGACAATACCCGATTCTTCTACAAGGGAAGGTCGTACGGTGTTGGTTCTTCGGTCGGTATCCAAGACCGCCTCATCAGAGGCCAGTCAGCAGTCAGGATGTACTACTTCAAGGAGGCTGGCTATATTTCTCAAGTTGAATGTCATTACAACAGAAGTATGGACTTTCGCATTGAGAGCGAATACCCTCACCGCACTTTTGCCGTCACTGGCTTCCTACCTGACACTGTCGGAAGCGCAGAATGGTCCGAGTACATTGGCCAGAGCCCGAGTTCCATTTTGGCAGTTGGTGTCGCCCGCAGCACCGAATCTCCTCGTCGATACATTTCCATCGCTGCAGGGAACCATTATCGAGCTCTTAACGCCACGCAGTGTACTGTAGATTTTCTGCCCACGTTGTTCCAAGTTTCAGTCAGAGTGAAAGACAGGAGTATCGTTGTGACGCCGTTAATGGGCATCAAAGACTTCGACACACAACGCACCCTAACACGAACAGCCGTTAGGCAGTTTGACCTTATCGCGAACAGTTTCATGAGCTTTCACGACTCGGTCCTTGGAAACGCTTTTCATTCTAGCATAGCAGCATGGAACAGTTCCTTCAACGAAATGGGCCACGTTCCAGAAAGTAGTGCTGTGCTTCTAGGTCTGCAGAATTCTCTCACTGCCATGACTGACTCCATACTGGCCGGTTACGGCGCAGCACAATTGATGGTCGGTAACCTCTCGGAACCGGCCGAGGCAGAGGTCATACTCGACGTATTCACGATTGGTAGCACTGCATGTATTACTGCTGTCGCACTCCTCAACGCATTGGCTGTCGCGATGTTTGGCTTCGAGATACTGCGAAAAAGACAGTAATCAAGGAACGATAAAAGCGCTTAAGTCCCGGTGGACACTATCAACAAAGTCTAGATGCATCAAATGACGGAATATATGGATAAATGCCATACGATGCATGGTATTGATTTTTGTAAACACATCCAGCCTCAGTCGATATCTCAATGAAACCACAGTCGCATAGATCAATCGCTGACTGTACATTATGAGCATGCCCCTTCCTCACATTACGAAACAACCTAGACACTAGACACAATCAATTAGGCGTTTTTGAGTGGCTTTCAGGATTCCCTCTTCTTCTCAAGCAACGGCTGTCAAGATACATGTAGGGATCTTCCGCATCTTACAAGTCAGTACGGATATTGTCTAGACAAAGGGAGGGGGGGCTTGGTTGCAAGGATGCTTCCCTCAGCGGCAAACAGCACGCCTTGATTGGTCGCTGAACCAACTGCTGAATCTGAAACTCCAACCTCGGTCTTGACTTCTACTATTGGACCCGGTGGGTTCGGAGTCACTTCCAAATTTCGAGAGGAAAAATGGGGATGTGTCAACGTAGCCTATGGTTTACTCATAACAAGGAAGTGAAGGCTCGTGGTCATGCCGTTGGTCTTTTCAGTTCTCCATCTTCATCACTGAAGTTTTTGTTTATGCTTTTTATTTTGATCTCTCTACACCGGTCGACAAGGTCCTCTACATCCCTATGTGTAGATATGGAAGAACGATTTAACAAAACGTCAGTAGATAACTCAGTTTCCGAACTGTTGCAGCGAAAAGAGGTCGGCTGGTGGGAGAAGTGGACGATACCGCTCTGCCTAATCATCACGACCATCTTGAGCTCTATCCTCATTGTTGCAGACTACCTGCAATGGACTATTAACGGCTCATGGTACGAATCATCATTCGCGACTATTACATCAAAGCGCGCCGCTATTCAGTCGGGTATTCAATTTGTTGCATACCTCTTGTCTCTGATACAAACCTCAACAATTGCCATCCTCGTTCAACATGGCTCAAGATTGGCATTCTTCAATAGCGGCACGTCGACAGCACAAAATCTCAGGGGATGGGTGAACATTGGAATCCCACGTATACAGTGGGATTTAAAGCCTTCATTTCTTTTTCCGATTATCGTCTTTTGTTCAACAGGTCCGATACTCTCTGCCCTTTGGGTTGGTGCAATGACTCCAGTTGGGAGTACGATTTTTGTACAAGAGAGTATCGTCGTTCCTTCGTTCACGAACATGACGCTCATCAAAGAGTATCCGTCTGAGATTTCGCAGTCTGGTCCATCCATCACCACGAAACAAGGTCTCTTTACATACTCAGTGGGAGTCAAGCTCTTGGGCAGCTTGATTGCATCTGGGGCATCAGCAACAACTTCCGACGGGTCTATTCGCAAACATCCGAAGATGGATAACACACAATACATTTACGAAGGCCGTTCTTATGGCGTCGGCGCATCCATTGGGATAGGAGATACGCTCATCAGCAATCGATCATCAGCAACCGCTTACCAATTTCAAGAAATTGGGTATACATCTAGTGTGGAGTGCATATACAATAGAAGCATGGACTTTGGCATTGAAAGTAGCTCGGAAAGAACTCCAAGGATCTTTGCTGTAACAGGTTTTGTGCCTGACAGTGTCGGAAGCCAGCAATATTCCGAGTACATCGGCCACGACACTAAGCCCATTGTGGCCGTTGGCGTAGCACACAGCTCCGAGTCGCCCCGTCGATACATATCAATTGCGGCAGGCCAGAGCTATCTGGCTCTCAATGCCACTCAATGCATTGTCGACTTTACGCCTACCCTGTTCAACGTCTCGGTTGGAATTAGAGGAAGAAATATTACGGTCTCTCCTGTGGGCGAAGTTGAAGATTTCAACCCCGAACGAAACTTGACAAGGACAGTTGTCAGACAGTTCGAGCTTATCTCTAACGATCTGACCAGCTTCTACGAGTCTGTCCTTGGGAATGCTTTTCTTTCGAGCATTGCAGCATGGAACATGTCTTCCAGCGAGAACGGTACAGTTCCAGAGGACGAAGCGACTCTTCGTGGCCTAGAAAACGCCATCACTGCAATGGCGGACTCTATGCTGACGGCTTATGGTGCTGCCCAGCTAATGGTGGGTAATTACTCGGAGGCGAGGCAGGCAGAAGTGACGATAGGAGTTTTTGTGGTTGGCGAGAAGATCTACGTTATCGCTGTTGCGGTGCTCAATGCGTTAGTAATTCTAGCCGTCGCCATAGAGGGGCTTAGAACGAAAGGTTGGCAGGGACTCCCGTCGTTTGACTTTTCGAACCCTGAATGGTTAATCGCCGCTTCATTCCGAGGAGGCGTTCTGTTCAAGGGCTCAAGCAACGTCATCAGCGAAGACAGTCCAGCGGCCAGGGCTTCAACGAAGAGTATCTTCTCGACTTACTCTAGGGTACTTGGAAGTGATGGAAAGGAAGAATCAATCATCGAGTTGGTTCCATCAGGGCACGGTAATGAAGATGTCGCCTTGATTGTGAGGAAGTGAGAGGGAAAGGGCCATTGTATAGAAGGCCAAGCACAGACTAGTCGATATCAAGATGTTAGAAAAAAAAGGTGATACTGATTACTATTTACTTTGCGCAGGGGAGACTTGTTTATTGCCAAGAATAGGCTGTGAGAGTTTGTGTAAGTACAAGTCAATATGGAGGGTAGGGAAGTCAAATGCTTCGAGATTTGATTTTTCGCGTACATAGAATCAGCTTCGCAGGCTTTTTTGATTTGAGCCAGAAGAAAGAGTGTGGTTCCATTTCGTCTTGAACTTCTTTTGCCTTGTATCAATACAGCACAACTACATTTTACTTGCTGTACGAATACTTGATTAGCAGCAGAGTCCTTTGCTCAAACGGTAGCATCACTGTCGCTGATCGGAGCCACCTCTAGTTCTTTCACCTTTTTGGAACATCAAATATCAGGTAAGAATAAGCCCGTCGAACAAAATTTTTGCTTCAATGAACCGATTTTAGGAATAACGTTAGGGAGCAGCCTTAATGTTGTGAGTGTTGGGATTTCAATGGATGAGCTTATGACAAGCTAGAACGTCATGCCAGAACGGTATGAGTTTTGCAATGTAATTGGCCCTTCTCAATATTTTGCCCCTTGTTGACGTAAGCCATACACACAAAATTCAAACTAAACGAGAAGGGAAGAGGGTGATGGAGTCAGGACAGTTTATAGACCGATGCCGGTGCCCTCCCGAAAACATGCCCGATATGCTTTCCGATCCCGGGCGCGGAGGATACCGGAACTATGGTATTATGCTAGATTCTCAAAGCCCTGTTTGGCTACTTGCCCGATAACCGACCGACTCTCGGATCTGCAAAGCGGACCACTTAACCGGATAAGAACCGTTCATCCCGCATGAAACGGAGCTGGTCTCCGGCGAAAAGACTTTCACGGCTTTTGTGATAAAAGCCTCTTCGTCCAATTCTCGCCACCTTTAGAAGTTCATCCATCTCGAATCTCCTGACTGCAAACAGAGGCATATCTAAATAATGCCAGGCGAAGTCCTTTCTTAAAGCGCTCAAAGTTTCCGGAAGAAACTCATGCTGTGTAGATTGCGGGGTCACCCAACAGACACAAGTCGTCGCATCAGCGGATTGCGTGCTCTGTGCCCCATATAGCAACATCGCAACCACGATTGCTAATCAGCACCATCCTCGACGGTGTCTCTGGTGCTTATCCCACCATTTAAGTGCACTCATTGACAACGGATGGCGTCATCTTCCCTCCGTCCTTTCGCCCTGTGTACTGCTGAACGCCAATAATATTTTGCTGTTTCATCCCAATGATCGGAACCGCACCGGCCAGCTCAGCTGGGCATTGGTGTGAGGAAGAGGGGCCTAGACAACGCCATCGAATCCCTGCCAGCATGCAATTATACTGGATAAGGCCCCCCTCATCGGATATACTCCGACGTCAATAACTTTGGAGGGGTAGTCTATATAAACCCAGGGACGTGGCATGAAGCCCACATGTGCGGATGTATGTACGAGGAGCAAACTTAACCTTGATTAGCCCAAAGAAAAAAAAACCAGACAAAATGGCACCTTCAGCGACAGAAACTGCCACAGTGACCGACCCGGTCAACCTTCCGGTGAACAACCTTCGTCTGTACGCCGATGGCTCTGGCGATTACAAGGAGCTCTCCCCTACCGTGTACGATAAGGATGCCGAAGCGAAGGGGGGAGACGGCCATGAAGGTGCAAAGGTTGGTTGATTGATTTTGTTCGTGTCCAGTCATTCGGTACAGAAGACTGACTTTCAACAACGTAGTACCCCCACTACCTTCCCACGTGGAATCCCGAGCAACAATACCCTCCCTTGCAGCCCTTTCAGCACTACGATCATGGCAAGGATGCGGACCCCAGCTACCCAGAGCTTCTCCCTAAGGACGCCCAAGTGACCGACCTCACACCCTCGATCGGCACAGAAGTTAGGGGCGTTCAGCTCAGTAAGCTCAGCGATGCCGGCCGCGACCAGCTCGCCCGCTATGTTGCGGAACGCAAGGTCGTCGCCTTCCGTGGGCAAGACTTTGCCGACCTGCCCATCGACAAAGCGCTTGAGTTTGGTGGCTACTTTGGCCGCCACCACATTCACCCCACCTCCGGATCCCCCGAGGGCTTCCCGGAGGTTCACCTTGTCCACCGTGCAGCGGGTGACAAGTCGGCTGAGAAGTTCTTCGCTACCAGAACGAGCTCAATCGCATGGCACTCAGATGTCTCGTACGAGCAGCAGCCGCCGGGCACAACTTTCCTATACATCCTCGACAAGCCCGAGACAGGCGGAGACACTCTTTTCTGCAACGCTGCCGAGGCGTACAACAGACTCAGCCCGCTCTTCCAGGAAAGACTTCACGGTCTGCAGGCTGTTCACTCTGGTATCGAGCAGGTCGCCGCCTCTGTCAAGAAGGGTAGCATCAAACGCCGCGAGCCCGTTGCCAACACCCACCCTATTGTCCGCACACACCCCGTGACTGGCGAGAAGGCCCTTTACATCAACCCTCAGTGTAGGTTCTTGCCCAAGTATATACTTTAGCAGACCGGACTAATCATATTCCAGTCACTCGCGAAATTGTTGGCTTGAAGAAGGAAGAATCCGATGCTCTGCTGAAATTCTTGTACGAGCACATTGCGTGGGGCGCTGACTTCCATGCCCGCGTAAAGTGGGAAGAGGGAACTGTCGTCGTCTGGGACAACCGCGTTACTCAACACTCTGCGTTGATTGACTGGAACAACGGATCGCGAAGGCACTTGGCCAGAATCACTCCACAGGCCGAGCGGCCATATGAGACTCCTTTCAAGGGTTAGATGGCCGGTGGAATGGCGCGGTGTTGGTTTTAGTGTGTACATCAAAGGCCAGTTTGGTCATTTTAGGGCCTAAGAGTCTTTAAGCAGCGATTGAAACTGCAAGACCAGTCTAAGCAAAACACTGGTGTAACGATAAATGCAAAGTTATTATGATTGATGGACCCAATACCCTTTTGACGACAAAATACACTCATGTGACTGACATCGACTTCAGTTTGAAGCGAATGCACAGCACTATGGTCGCTGGCAATCGTTAGCCAATACCGAAAGTCTGTTCTCTATGCAGTTGGCGACAATCTAAATGATCTAGATACTCCGCTATGCCAGAGTTATGGCTCACTCACCCTGCGATGGATCAATGTTCACTCTAACTTATCGTAGTCGCAACACAGTTTTCTCCCATCTTCTTCTGCTACTGATAAGATGCAGACAAAACGCGTCAGAGACGGGAAGATAAGCTCGGTATTCGGATAATGAATAGACTAAATGATCGTCCTAGTTGATAACTCCCTTGGCGTATGGTATGCGATCGATCCGAGAGGTTGGCACTTGATGTGGGCTGTTTCTTGGGCTGGTCTCTGATTGGCCAATTAAGTCAAAGCACCCACTTTTCGGCCACCCCTGCTTTTCGGCCACCCAAAAACGAGGCTATCGCAACACAACCACCTATTTCAATTAACTATCGCCGAGGCCCAGATGCAACTATGATACAGCTTTCTACTTCGCTAGGGCAATCAGATGCGCTGGATTCATCTGTATCTATTTCAACTTCGCCAGCCTTGATCTGGGCTTGCCGTATATCGCTGATGTTAGCGAACTTAGTATTAGGGTCAATTTTGATAGTCTTCTTCTCTTTTGTTATAGTATTGCTAATTTGGGCCTAGAGAAGCTGTATTTAGTGCTAGGTAATAGCTAGCTGGAAGGACTACTCTTAGAAGCCTTTTTTGACTTTTCTGAATAATTAGCGTTATATAGCAATACTTTAATCCATCTTATTAAATAAGTCTAGTTAACTATTAAGATCCTGTATCTTCTTAGGCATAGACTACATAATAGTAGATATAGCAGATACTTATCTATCTATACCCTAAGTATCCTAGATACCCTAGATATCCTAGGTAGCCTTATTACGTAGTGTTAATAGTACTGTGTTACAATCAGATATCCGACAGTGGTGTTTTCTACTAATAGGTAGCTAAGGTCAATACTCAGTAACAGTAAGGTAAGTCTTATTAGTAATCTTGCTGGTCTATTAGTATCTAGTAATTAGTCAGGCACGTCTAGGCATAGATAGCTTTATAGCTTTACAATAGAAGAATAATCTAAGAGTCACTTATAAAAGAGTAAATCACAAAGTTAATTACTAAAGAGCTATAAAAGGTATCTAGTCTAGTTAGAACAATTATCCTTATATCCTATTATTACCTTATTAGGACTGATCTCTTAAAGTTAGTCTTTAATAAAGACTAATCCTTAGTATATTAGTCCTAAGTCATAGACTACTTATTTATTATTAGTTTTTCTTATCTTTATATAACTTTCCTTAGTTCTTTTGTTCTAAGAGGAGATTAATATGTTCCTATATTATCCTACATATAACCTTATCTTGTAACTACTAAATGCCTATAAGATAACCCTAGTTATATTATACTTATTAGGTTATAATATTAGGTCTCCTCTTTAAAGGTCTTACTTTTAAGACCTTATAAGTAGGTTATTCCTCTTAAGTTAAGGAGTTATTAAACTTACTTCTTTATTTATTTATAATATTAATATTATATTAAGTTATATAGAAAAATTAAAACTAAAAGCAAAATCTTAAAAAATAAAGATAAAAGATTATAAGTATTTTATACTTTTAAAGTTTATTAAAGCTTATTTTGTTATTACTAATATACCTTATACTTATTATTTTTATATAAAGACTACTTATTATTTTAGTAAAAGTTCTTTTTACTGTTATAGCTATATTAAGGCTAAAAAGCCTTATAATAGTGTTTTAATAGCTTTTATTTATAAGTATCCTTTAATTAAATATAGTCTTTTTTGTTTAACTTTTATTTATAGTATAAAAATTAAATGCTTAGTAAAAGGAGTAAAATAAGAAAAAAGAGATAATAAGTAAAAAGCTTTTAAGGCTTTATAAAGAGCTTATTTAATTATAGTCTTTAATAGCTATTATAGCTAGCTATTTATCTAAAATTTAAAAAACTTAGAAACTTGTTTATAAGCGTTAAACTAAAACTTTTTATTATAGTATATAAGAAATTAATAAGTTTAATACCTTAAAGTTAATATTAGATGCTTATAAATAAGGAATAGTAGAAAAGTTATAGTTTATATAAGTACTTAATAATATAAACTAGTCTTTATATAAGCTTAGTAATAAGTTCTTAAACTTAAAGCTACTAGTATAGGCGTCTGGTTTTAAAGTGTTTATGAGTTATAATAGTCCTAGAGTAGCTGTTAAGAGTACTAAAGGTTTTTAACTAGTTCTTATAAGTTGTTTTTATATTTATATTCTTTTTATTTAATAAAATACTATACTTTTTTATTTTTTTTTTATTTATTAATAATTTATTTAACTTTATATTTTAGTTTATTTAGTTCTATAATAATATAGTTATTAGTATTTAATCTTTATAGTATTAGTTTAAGTAGTGTAATATAAAAAACTAAATAGATCTTTATTATGTTTAGTAAGTTAAGTTTAAAGTTAATATTTAAGATTTTTTAAATAATTTTAAAAGGTCTAAGTTTTTTATAGTTTAATTTATTACTTAGTCTTTTTGTTTTAATATTATGTTATAAAAGATATATACTATTTTTCTTTTTAAAGGTTAGTCTTTTAACTTTTAATATGTTAGTATATTTCTTTATTTATGCTTTAATAAATTTAAGGTCTTTAGTAGTATTTTCTTAGATTTCTTGTAATTTATTATAATCTACTATAACCTTTAGTATTTATAGTCCTTATTAAGGTTCTTTATATACTATAGGCTTAAATCTATAATTTAAGTAAAATAAAGAGTTTAGTATACTTTCTTTTATAGTATTATTATAGGTAAATTAAGCTATTAGTAATAGTAATACCTAATTATCTTAGTTATAGTTAATATAATATTATAGATATTATTCTAGTATTTAGTTAATTTATTTGGTTTATTTATTGGTTTATAGGTAAAAAGTAGTTAATAGCTTGTAATTAGCTTTTAGTTATAAAATCAGGGATTTCTAAAATTTAAATATAAATAGTTTATTTTTATTAAATATGATTTTTTTAGGTAATCTGTGGTTATTAATAATGTATTTTAAAAATATATATACTAGGTCTTTTGTTATACTTAACTCTAAGTATAGGATAAAGTATATATATTTTGTAAGTTAATTAATAATAACTAATATATTATTATAGTAGGTTTTTATAAGTAGTTCTTTTAACTTAAAGAGTTTAATAATAAAATCTAAAGAGATTAAGTATTAGGCTTTTAGTAGTACTAGTAATAGTTATAATTATCTATATAGTTTATATAGACTATTTTTGTTTTTTTTATATATATTATAATCTTTAATTACTAAAGCTACTTTTACTTAAGTAACTTATATATTATAATATTATTAAATTTGTTTAAATGTCTTAGTAACTCCTTAGTGTTTATAGGCCTTAGCGCTATGAATCTCTATGATTTGTTCAGGTGTTATTCTGCTAGTTATACTAGTATTAATATAAATACTAATTATAATAAGTTTTTATGCTAAGATAAGGTTACTGTTCTTATTCTTTTTAAGGATGACTTGGGTTTCTTTTAGTACTAAGGTTTTATGGTCTAGTCTTTAGCTTAAGGCATCAGCTCTTCTATTCTTAGATCCTTTAATATAAATGATTCTAAAGTTGAATTTTAATAGGAATTCAAACTATTTAATCTATTGTTTATTAAGGACTTTAGAGGTAATAAAGTAAATAAGGTTCTTATAGTTAGTATAGACCTTGACTTTATATTTAGTTCTAGATAATTAAGGTTTTTATTTTTAAAAAGCTTTAATAATTATTATAAGTTCTTTATTATAGATTTAGTAATTAAGCTTAGCTTTATTAAGTTTTTAAGAGAAAAAAACATAAAAGTATAGCTTTTTTTTATTATTATGTTAGCTAAGTTGTTTACTGATAGTATAGTCTAAAGCGTTAGTTTCTAGTTTAAAGGGTTTTCTTAGGTCTAGGATTATTAAAACTGGTTTAAAATAAACTTATTACTTAACTTCTTTAAAGGCTTTTTTTTATTCTTTGGTTTATTTAAAGGGTATATCTTTTCTAGTAAGCTTAATAAGGGGGTTAATTTTATTAAAATATCTTTTAAGAAATTATTAGTAGAAGTTAATAAATCCTAAAAAGGATTAAATATTTTTAACATTTTAAGGTTAAGGCTAGTCCTTAATAGCTATAATTTTTTCATTTTTTATTTAGATTTTTCTTAGTGTAATAGTAAATCTTAAAAAGTTAACTTATTAACTATAAAATATGCTTTTTTTAAGTTTAACTAGTAGTTTAGCTTCTTATAGTTATTAAAGTATAGTATAAATATGCTTTTTATGTTCTTTAAGGGTATAAGAGTAGATAAGTATATTATCTAGGTAAACAATAATAAATATATCTAGAAATTCTCTTAGGATATAGTTAATTATTATCTAGAAGGTAGTAAGTATATTAGTAAGTCTAAAAGGCATAACTAGATATTTAAAGTTACTTTTCCTAGTATAAAAGTAAGTCTTTTATTCCTTACTTTCCTTTATCCTAATTAGGTTATAGGCTTTTTTAAGGTTAATAGCTATAAACTATTTAGTGTAGTATAGCTAGTCTTATAATTCTGAGATAAAAGGTAGTAAGTAGTAGTTCTTAATTATAATATTATTAAGTTATTAGTAATTTATATAAAGTTATAGTTTATTATTTTTCTTTAGTATAAACAATATTAGGTATTTTATAAAGGATATTAATAGTTAAA